CCCCAAAACCCCAAAACCCCAAAACCCCAAAACCCCAAAACCCCATAACTGGAATTTCGGTTGGAAATTGTTAAATTTAATTAAAATATGCAAAAAATATCAACTCGTGTTATTTTGGTGTTGGTTTTAACCGTCGGAATCGCCCATTGCTCCATTTTCGAAGCCTACAATAGCGATGATGTCGCTTACTTCGTTAAGAATGAGCAAGATAGGAACCGGGCAATTATGTTCTATGACGCATTCCAAGAAGAAGGAAGCTACCAGATCTCGAATAACGTTCAGAAAATAAACGGTGTCTTCCTGAATAAGGGAGAGCCAGGGAGGTCTGATGACTTCTGGGTTGACCATCTAAATGACAGAGTGAACTTGTTAAGAGTTGATACTTTGAATCCTTATAATAAGCAAGCAATGGACTCCTTCCATGTGGCAAAGGCACCATTCCTCATTGTATTGGAAGATGGAAACATTGTTTTTGAGGAAGCTATTAGAGATGGGACTTATAATCATCTTAGAGATGTCCTTGACACATCTAACTCTGGAAATTTTAACGATTATGATTTTGGAACCCAGAATTATGGAAGTGGAAGCAACTCTTTCAATAGCTTTGAAGATTCTCTTCAGAAATATGGAGGAAACAGTCAGCAGTTTAACAGCCAAAATCGAGGCTCTCACCCTTACGATCTTGTAGATAAAGCTGAGGATGATTTGCAATCTGCAGATCAAAATATCAAGGAAAATAGCAAAACAGTTGAAAGTTCGTTAAAAGAACTTCAAGATCAGAGAAAGAGTCTTCTAGCTTATAAGGAAGTTGAAGAAGCTAAACAAAAGGCTGAGATGGCTATGCACCAAGCTGAAGAAGCCCAGAGGATGTATGAAGAAGCTCAGAAAGATCTGAATGAGCACATCAATCAGTTGAACAAAGAAGAGGAGGAAAGGCAGAGAACTCAATTTGCGCAGAATTCTAAAACGAATGCCTATCAATCTCAAAATCCTAATTCTTTCTCTCCAATAGCCCAGAGGGTATATGGAGATAGTATTTCAAGTAAGTTTGATCCTTACTTATCGCTAATAGGCTACAACTTAGGTAGCTCTAGGACATGGAACGGATACAGAGGAAGGTACTAAGCTTAAATATTATCTATATTCAATTAAATTGACCAGTGTTGGGGTTTTGGGGTTTTGGGGTTTTGGGGTTTTGGGGTTTTGGGGTTTTGGGG